CTATATGACTCAAGCAAAGTAACAAAATAAAATAAAGGTGACAGTTTTGATGCAACAAGCCTTTCCTCTTTCTTGCAATAGAAATAAAAAGATAGAGAAATCAAGGAGCACAACACATTTGTATAAATCACCGAACTAGGTAATTAAAAGACCAAGAATAGCATCTGCATACAGTTACCCTAAAGCTTTCTAAAAAGGATTGTCAAACACCATTTATGTAGTATTCATTATTCAAGCGAAATTTTTAGTTCTAAAAGTAGAAGACACTCAGTTGGCTGCTTCAGATCCTTGCAGCACACTGGTTCTGGAGTATCTTCTCTAGCCTTTACATCTCTTGAAGAGTAATTTGTCTCACAAGTTCATGACTACATTATGGAACTAAACATAATTCAACAATCTACTCAATTATCCCCCCTTTCTCCAACTAGAATACTTTACAGGAGAAATAATCACAACTGATAGCAATAGCTGGTTAAAATACAGAAGTAGCACCACTTGAGTGTCCATCCATAGGATTTTGGAAAGCACCAAATCTTTGCTGACTAAGAGCCCGTTTTGGACATAAGAAATTTTTCCCTTTTTTCCAAAAGAATTTCACTTTTTTTTCCAAATCAGCGTTTGTTCATAAAATTTCCAATTTCCATTTGAAGATGCATTTTGGAAATTTTCGAAAATTTGAAAAATTCCATAAAGCTGTTTTTCAAAATTTTCACTCAAATCACTCACAAAACTTCAAAAACAACCCAAAATTATTTTCATGTTCAGACACAACTTAAAATTTCAAATACCATTTTCATTTGAAAAAAAATTTCACCCTGTTTTGGAATTTTACAATTCTTATGTCCAAACGCCCACTAAAATCATTACATGTTCGCTTTAGAATGTTTATACAGTGAAGATTGAGGAAGGTTGAAAGTGACAGATAGCTACACCTAGGCAGACTGTTCATAAGGAGAGATTCATTCAACCAGAACAAAGGATTCCGATAAACATACATACATACATGTGTATGCGTGTGTACAGTCACACAAAAAAGAAAAGAAAAAGACACATACACTCCCCCCCNTGTCTGTTTCAGCTAATGCCTTGCTAATCTGTAAAAGAGAAATTAAAGGGCAGTCATCTTACCCCTCCCACGTACAGCAAGAGAGGAGAAATTCGGAAAAGGCATTTAGAGCAAAGACGACAAAAGACGGTAACCAATAGGGAAAAGGTCACCGCCTATAGTCGTCTTTATATCAAGAAGTGATGAAGCAACATTCACAAGTATTTTTAGAGCAAAGACGACCAAAGGCGGTGAGCAATACAAGTGCTACTGCACTTTTACCTGAGGCGCATAGATACAACCAAGTGCACCAATGATTACTCCTCCTAAAAGAAAGCCACCAACAAAAATTCTGGTATTGCCTGGCCTTCCACCATCACTGCCAATTAACAAGAAAGAGAAACATCCCATAAGATATTTTCTCCTGTCGGTGGATCACCAATGCGTGAAAGAAACAAAAGTACAATTTTCTTTTCCTATTAAATGGAAAGAGCCAAATTTACTTATGTCACTCCAGAGTAAATTGGATTCACAGTTTTGCAGAACAACTGTCGGACCAAACTAATTCAAACATGATCAGACAGAGGGTCCATTTATTAGGGATTGACCTTTTCAATTGATTTGGTCTAATCAACTCTAACATTAACTTATTAAGATGAAAATATAATCTATCGAAGGACTACTAAGCACCAAACAAAAGAAGGGTGATGCAACATCAATGTATATGTTGCATACAACTAGAGCACATGAGAATACGAGAAGAAATACCTATATCCAGCCTGAACGGTCAATGAACTTCTAGATGAGGATGATTTTCCTCTGCTCCTTGGACTGAAGGCCAACTTGGTGGCGCCACTGATACTTTGGTCTGCTGACTTCAAACTAGAGCCTAGCACATTGATAAAATTACCGGACTTATGCCACATTACTCATCTAGGTTTGGTTGAAAGAGAGAGCCATCAATGCAATGCAACAACTGACCGTGCCATGTATGACTAAACCAATCTTATTTGTCATGAGAACTTTTAGCTTCACGCAGTTCCGCAGATAACTTGAACAAAAAACACGCAATCCATTTTATATCCAACAATTTGCATTCAGATGTTATACTTAAAATAATTGAATAAGAAGCAGAGAAGGTTGTTGAATCTTATCAGGCTCTCTTATTTTTAATGTATTGAAATAAACACCTGGCACAAATTCAAATAAACATTTTGGAAAATGATGCTGGAACAGCATAAGGGTCACTGTATCAAGAGAATACTCTACAATATGAATATCTAAAGGCCACTCTGTTCATATCTGTCTTAGTCCAATACTATATAATACTCTCTTATTCATTTTATACAACAACTTTCTTTTTTTATTCCAAAAAGATTGACACCTTTTTATATTTGAAAAATGTTTAAATTTAACACTCCCGTTTTTGCCATTAAAGCCCTTACAGATATGATCTTATAGGAATTGAAGTGACTTCCATTGTTTATGTCTTTAAGTTTAACGCTCCGTAATAGCATATTTGCCAGCATGTACTTCCACTGTTTATGTCTTATTTTGACTGAGCACAAAATTTAAGAATATAATGAAGACTTTTGAATCTTGTGGTCTTAATTAAAGGTGTGTATAACATACAAATAATATCCTTTGAATCGTGTGATCATAAACTTTGTATCCAGTCAAACACTACCATATAAAATGAAAGACAAGAATATTTCTTATAATCAAATTGGTGTTACTTAAGACTGGATGTTCCATAAATCTCACATTTATCCCTACACGGACATACAAGTCTGTGTTCTTAACTAAAAAGCTCCAATGAGAAAACTACCTAACATAAGTATAACAACAACAAAAAAAGTTAATCGCAACTAGTCTGTAGCTACTAGCCCATTTTGATTTGTTCTTAACTAGGGTCTCAAGGTCTTTTGAGACACAAATTACTACAGGCTACAGTTAGTTTACTTTGACAGATAAGGAGACACAAAATATTGAAATACAGAGTACAGACCTCTGTAGTAGTCTTCCAATTACGCTATTACGGAGCTTAATTGATGTAAATTAATCCTGGCACTATTTCCTTATTAGTTCTTTCTAAAAAGAACAAACCCTGATATATGTGAAAACAGTTTAAAATTTTCATTTTTCTCTTAATGACATTCTTTTATAATCACAGAATCTCATGACATATTCATTTGAAACATGAGTTCAAAAAGTCTTTATTCTCGTACTTAATTACGTTCCCAATCAAACACAGTCACATTCAATCAAACAAAGTCACATAAATTGAAGTGAAGAGAGTAATGGGTGTAGCAAAAGCAGCGAATTATAATAATAATAATGAAAATTTAGAATATATATAAAGAATTACCAGAAGAGAAACGGAGAGAAAGGTTTGTTGGTAAGAGCAAAGAATTTGAAAGAGCTACCATCCTGTGAGGATAGGATGAGGGATTAAAGAGGAGGAACACGGAAGACAGTCACCGGAAAATGAATCAAAGGTGGATGACGGCGGCCGGCCGGCGAAAGAAAGAGAGAGANGGGGGGATCAGAGAAGTGATATTGTTTTTTTAGTTCGATGAGGTCGATGATGATCAACATAATTAACCACGACGCGTGGATATTTGTGGATATTTGTTTGGGAACCAAATGCGTAAAAAACTAAAAATCAATAAAATCAAAATAATAAGGAAAAATCAAAAATGATATCGATAGAAAATTTTAATAAAATTATTAATATTCTATTTTGTTAAAATTTTCTCTTATATAAGATTAAGTTACCTGTTTTTTAACTTAAATTAATTAAGATTGTTTAATTAAAATAAAGGTGGTCAAAAGTAGTTTATCCTTCAGCATCACCAATTAATTTAGAAGTGTAATCTGAGAAAAAAAAAAAGGGAGAATTATACGCCTTATTACTTGGCCCCATAACCCATCAGAAAATAGTCCACGTTTGAAATCTTTACCACGTATGACTCTGATTGACATAGCTTGAAAATTTACTTTTCACCCGTTAGCCCACCCCTTTAAATTGTTTTTGTCACGATCCAAATCGATGGGTCGCGACGGATGTCCGAGTCTTACTTGTCAAACACCCCTAAGCATGCGTCTAAGATATAAACTTGAATTTACGAGAATAATATACATGAAGGAAACCTACCCAAAAATGCATACGTACATATACATGCAACATACGTAGGGCGAGCCGACAAAGCAGCTATAGACAACTATGTACCTCAAAACTGGAAGCCGGCAAGGCCACATATTATCCAACTAGACATACTGTCTACAGACCTCTAATAGAAATATAACTGTACAAAGACAGGACTGAGCGAAGTCATACCCATATATATACAAACATATCATACCAAAATCAAAAGCAGCTCCGGATCAAGCCAACTCTTGCTGATCAAGAATCCTAAGAAGGGGACCGCAAGCTTGCCTACCTGCACCTGCGGGCATGAAACGCAGGCCCCGTGAAATAGGGTGTCAGTACGAAAAATGTACTGAGTATGTAAGGCATGAAAATCTGTACGTAAAAGGCATAGATGAAACATGGAATAAAGAAATCCATCTGTAAATCTGAATAACTTTGTAAATTCTAAAATATTTATAATGTTATGCACGTGCATATAAATGTCGTGTCATGCATGGGTATAGGTGTACATAACATCATCAATCCACTGAGGACATCCCATCATATCATCTCGGCCACTGTGGGCAACATCATCAACATACACCAACTGATAAGGTGGTGGTGCGTATATAACACCGTAACATTTTTCCCATATCCCCCCCCCCCATATATATATATATACGTGTATATAACGTCATCTGGTCATGGGTCAATGTACATGTATAAATGAATGAAATGCATGAAAAATATGTAATAATCTCAATATCCCTTCCGAATAAACTTTTTCAGCTGCGTATTATTCTGAGACCCATGAACAGAAGATATAATAATATGTCACATAAGGAATCAAGAACATAGAGACCCCTAGTATTTCTATGAATATAGTCATTTATGAAAACTGTGCATTTGCTCGCTTCTTCTGTATAACGTGGACCATGCCAAAACGAAAGAAGGGATGGCCTTAAGATACCTGTAGTAGGAAAAACTCCATATAATATTCTTGGCGAAGATTGCACCGTACTCTTTTAGAACCGCAAACTTTGGATGGAATTAAGCTTCTGTTCTTTGAAGTATTTGAACGAATTTTAAGCTTCTGCTCGTTGAAGTGTTTGAATGAATTTTTAAGCTTCTTCTCGTTGAAATGTTTGAAAGAAATTGAGCTTCTGTTTTTGAAATATTCAAACCAAGAAATGATAGGTTCTTGCTTTAGGATTTTTGGTCATTTTTTGGTTCCTTTTCTCTAAACGAAATGGAATCAGATTGTGAATCAATCTTTTCCTATAAAGCTCTAAGGTAGCCACCTAATACTTAGAATGACTAAGAGTCATTTTATGCTACTACGTTACTTTTCTTGGGGGTTTAAGCTTATCTCATAATTCATTAATTAACTAGGTAATTTTCCGTTATCCGGTAATTAACTAATTATCCGTATAATTAAGAATTATTTCAAATTACCTAAAAATACTACTCATTTTTAATATACTTTATACATCATACTATCACGGCCATATGGTACCTTGTATGGTATTAGTCCAAAAATATCTAGTATTATCGCTCGACCCGTATTTTATCCCAAATTGGCCACTTTCAATGAAACTCATTTTCTTTAATTCGTGTACTTTTTATCCTTTATGGCACTTACTTATCGCTTGTTATAAATAACATAAATATGTTAATCTCAGTATAATCTCATCCCCGAGTCTACATCGATTAACTGAAGACGAAACTTTTAACGTATGAAAACACGAGATGTAACATCCCTTCCCCCTTAGAAACATTCATCCTCGAATGTTTAACTCTTAGGGATCTATATAACCTTGGCAGAGTCGCCTTTGCAACAATGCTACTAACAACTCTTCCTGATGAAACTCAATAATTTAATGCCACATAGGATCATAATCATCAATAACGGCAATGGCCTCACACGACCAATACACAAGAATCTGTGCACGTACCTTGAGGTTATGATGTCTCAGTCGGACCCTTTTCTGGAGGAGGAAATAAGTAGGGATATCTAGACTTCATGTCTTCCTCAGCCTCCCAAGTCATTTCTTCTACATTGTTGTTTCTCCAAAGTACTTTCACCAACGCTACCTCCTTAGTACATAGCTTACGGATTTGTCGGTCTAGAACGGCAACCGGAATTTCCTCGTATGATAAGTCCTCTGTAATCTGTACATTACTCGTTGGCACCACTCAGGGAGGATCGCTAATGCACTTCCATAACATTGATACATGAAAAACCGAATGGAAAGACTCCAATTCCAAGGGCAATTCTAACTCATAAGCTACTTGGCCCACTTTCCAAATGATCATATAAGGCCCAATATACCGTGAGATAAGTTTGCCTTTCTTGCCAAACCTCATCACACCCTTTATAGGTGACACCTTTAAGAATACCCAGTCATCAATCCCGAACTCTAAATCTCATTGTCGCACGTCAGAATATGACTTTTAACGACTCTAAGCTGTCAATAGTCGATCCCGGATCAACTTTACTTTGTCTATGGCTTGCTGAACCAGGTCTAGCCCATGTAATCTAGATTCTCCAACATCAAACCACCCTATAGGCGACCTACACTTCCATCCATAAAGAGCTTCGTATGAAGCCATCTGAATACTGGAATGGTAGCTATTATTATATGCGAATCCAGTAAGCGGCATATGATCATCCCAGCTACCTTTGAAGTCTATTACACAAACTCGTACACATATCCTCCAGTGTCTGAATAGTACGTTCATCCTGTTTGTCTGTCTGGGGATGAAATGTTGTACTTAGACTTACTTGAGTCCCCAATCCTTTTTGGAAGGACCTCCAAAAGTTAGCTGTAAATTGAGCTCCTCTATCCGAGATAATAGATACAGGGACACCATGCAGTCGTACTATCTCCTTAATATAAAGCCTTGCATAATCCTCTACAGAATATGTGGTCCTAACGGTCAAAAAATGGGTCGACTTTGTAAGCCTATCAACAATCACCCATATCGAGTCAAACTTATGCTGGGTATGAGGTAAGCCTACAATGAAATCCATATTGATTACTTCCCATTTCCAAGTCGGAATCTCCATAGACTGCAATAACCCACCGAGTTTCTGATGCTCAATCTTAACCTGCTGACAGTTATGACACTAAGCAACAAACTCCGTTATATCCCTTTTCATTCCGTCCCACCAATATGCTTCCCTGATATCATGATACATCTTTATCACTCCTGGATGGACAGAATAACAAGAATAGTGAGTTTCTCCCATAACCTGCTGATGCAGCCCTGCAACATTAGGGACACATAATGATCCTCGATATCTGAGGACCCATCTTCTATAGTTTCAAATGGTGTCTTATCCTTCTGAGGGGTGGTATCCCTATAATGAACTAACATAGGATCCTCGTATTGGTGTTCCTTTACTTCAGTTACTAAAGAGGATGTTGTCGTATCCTGAATAGTAATTCCAATATCACCTGAGTCCAGTAACTGAACTCCAAGGCTAGCTAACTGATGAACCTCATGGGCTATTCCCCTCTTTTCTGGCTGTAAATACGACAAGCTACCCATAGATCTATGGATGAGGGAGTCGACTACTACGGTCGTTTTCTATGGATGGTATAAAATATCAACGTCATAGTCTTTGAGTAGATCCAACCATCTCATTTGACGTAGATTCAATTCCTTTTGCTTGAAGATGTACTGGAGGCTCTTATGATCCGTATAGATATCAACATGAATGTCTTACAAGTAGTGCATCCACATATTTAGTGCATGAATCACCGCGGCTAACTTTAAATCGTGGGTCGGGTAGTTCTTCTCGTGTTTTCTTAGTTGTCTAGAAGCATAAGCCACAACCTTACCATGTTGCATCAGCACATAACCCAATCCAACGCCTGAAGCGTCACAATAGATAACATAACCATTTGTCCCTTTTGGGAGCGTTAGAATCGGTGCTGAAGTTAATCTGTCCTTTAATTCCTGGAAACTCTGTTTGCAAGCATCAGTCCATTGAAACTTTGCACCCTTATGAGTCAACTTTGTCAAAGGTGCTGAAAGGGAAGAAAATCCCTCTACAAATCTCCTGTAATAACCTGCCAAACTGAGGAAGCTACGAACCTCCGTCGGTGTTGTGGGTCTAGGCCAAGTCTTTACTACCTCAATCTTTTGTATATCCACCCGGATGCCTTCACCTGAAATTATTTGCCCCAGTAAAACTACCAGAATTCACATTTAGAATTTTGCATACAACTTCCCTTTTTTGTAGAACTCTGAGCAAAGTACGTAAATGATCTGCATGCTCAGCCTCTAAACGAGAATACACCAATATATCGTCGATAAATACAATTACGAACAGATCTAAAAAGGGCCTAAACACACGGTTCATCAAATCCATGAATATTGTTGGGGTATTGGTCAAA